AGAGAGAGAGAGAGAGAGAGAGAGAGAGAGAGAGAGAGAGAGAGAGAGAGAGAGACGTGAGGTGACGCATGTGTCATCGTCGTGGCATGCACACATGATAGCCCATCGCCGGGAAACAGTTCGACAAGCTATTACATCAAATCGCAAAGCTGAAAACAATTATAATAGCATTTGTTATGACATCCAACTGTTGAAGGCGCTACCGGCTTGGCCCGAATAGAACGCCCGGTCATTATATCTGCATTTCGGAGCCTCGACCAGAGTACCTGCATTCAAGTCCCGTCGGGAGTTGGAACAACATAGCATCAGGGGCGCCTCCCTTTGAAAATTTTGAAAAAGGACGTAAAGAGGAGGACCGGCAAAACAGGGTTTCGCCAAACCACTGTTGAAACACACACGAAGTACAAGTGCATCTTCCAAAGAAAGTGACAAGATGCATCCTCCTGGATTCCTCAAATCATTGGGCTATGCATTTGTGATAAGGCAGCTCCGTAGTCACGGGTCTAGTCGCCATAGAAAGCATTTGACGGTTTATGCTGCGCTGTAGTGAAGGCTGCAACTAGACCACTAGCAAGGAAGCGATTTCAAAAATTGAAAAGCAACGTCTGCTTTAGCGTAATTGATGCATCTTGCCACTCTCTTCTCAAGCATGCACTCATACTTTTTTCCTTTCAACAGTGGTGCGGCGAGGCCCAAAGACGCTCGTGGGTTTAGAGATGACGAGTCCTTGTTCATAAACGAGAACGCACAAACCTGCAGGGTTGAGAATGAAAAACAGAACACCTCTCTTTCCACTCATCTAAGGATCATCTGCTGCTAAGGAGAAACGGGTGCGCCGTGCACCCTGCACTCGTGAGTGATGTGAGCGCACGTGCGCACCATGCCCTCATGGGCAGTGCGCTGGAGTACGCGCAACTGGCCCCCATGCGTGCGCACTGTTGAATGTGCCTTCTTCTTTTCTTTTCTTTTTTTGTGTGTGTGTGTTTTAACAGCCCCGAGCTCTCTCTCATATTCCATCCACGATTCATCATAAACCATCCATAGAACAAAAGTATAGATACGCAAGATGGTTAGAGATTCAAGGTTGGCCACGTTTGTGTGGTTAAGCACCAAGTGCCCACACGTCCGTCTGCCGCCAAAGCGGCACACTTGCACACACATATATATACATATATTTTGTAGTCCATAAAAGGGCGGAGGGGAAACTGCATCATACCTAACACAAAAGGCTCCACCAGCAAGCACGGAAATCACCATGGTCCGAAAAAACTTGTGTGTGTGTGTCGTCATATTCGCTATACACAACTCCACAAAGAAAAGCATGAATGTGCCAGACTGTTTTATCAGACTTTCACCGACTCATCAGGAGATTGTGTGTGTGTGTGTAAGCCGTGTGCCAGTACGAGTGTGTGATGATGGCCTTGTGCTAACACTATCAGACCGAACAAAATGCCCTTGTCAACGGACAGCATGGATTCTGGACAAAGGTGTTTTGTTTGGTCCGATAGGCCGCTGTTATTCAACTAACCAGCCTGCTCGTGAACACTCACACCCATTCTCATCAGGGGTACTCACACTAGCTTGAGCTTAAGACCCCAGTACCTCGCCCAGCTCTTGATGCCGACCCTAAAATCGTCCTGCACGCCAACCCCCGCAGGCCTCCTTTTTAGCCGACCCCCGAAAGATGTGGCCGTATACCAAGCCGCATATTTGTATTTCAAGCTGGGCAAAGTAATGGTGGTTTAATGTATCTGACTGCCTTACAGCCCGACCTGGATGCATGTGACCGAAATGTTTTCCATAAACAAGTTCAAAGCATGTCGTGTAAGTATGCCTAACGTCCTCCCTCCACTACTCACCAGATGTGCAAAATGAGAATGAATCTTCCGCTAGAACATGGAAAGATACACCGGCATTTTTTGTCTTTTGTGCATGTGGTGTGTAGTGGAGCAAAGCCCTATTTCTGACAGATTGGGCTCAGGTAATGCCCAACGTAGCTTTTAAACAGATCCCTCACTCACCAAATATGCAAAATGAATCTTCACCTAGAGCATGGACAGACACACCACCATTAATTTTGTCTGTGGCCGTCTAGCAATGGACTGGCATCCATCAGAATCTGATTCTGATAGATGCCAGACGGCCACAGACAAGCCTGCCCTCATGGGTTTTCTTGTTCTCCTTTCTTTTTTTTTTTTTAACCACATCTCTATCAGACACCCAGAAATTGGCATTCCGGTGGGTTAGGAGTGGGGTTTTTAAGGGGGGCCTCCGACCGGAAGGCGCAGGCGGGTCCAGTCTCACAATTCTCAAGCACCAACTTTGGTGATTTTTTGTGCTCACAAGAATTGACAAAAAAAACTGAAAATTTCAGATCCTGTAGATTAGGTCATGATCCTTCCAGGCAAAATATCAGAAAGACGAACAAAAGAATAGTTTAGACCATGGAATAAATGCGGCACCAATTCGTCACATTTTTCCATTTTTGCCACTCTACAATGTGTGGACCAACGGAAAAAGTACCGTAACTTTCACATTTTTTTGCGCTCAGTAGAATGTGCAAGGAAAATGAGCGAGAGCGATAGACAGAAACAAAATTGCAACATCACATTGAAGACCAGATAGTCGGGTCCCAAGCAGAAAGAGGTAAGCACCGAGTTACAAGCGAAATAAGAGCAATGCAATGAACTCAAACGTCGATGCCAGCCCCCTTCTCGCCACCACCAACAAAGTATCCAATGTCTCTCTTCTTCATTGGTGCTCGGCACCTAAACTAGCCTACAACTACGACATGCAACAGGAATCACTTCCAGCCGAAGACCAATGTACATGACGAAGCCGCCCATGCAGACTGCCGCATACATCAGGTACGTGTCTCGCCTCTCTCTCTCCTCTCTCATCCCCTTCTCTCCCACAATGTGTGAGTCCCCTGCTCCCGAAGACCACCACATCACAAGCAGGGCCGGCTATGGCCTCTTGCACGCGCTACCCAGCAGCGCCCTCACGCCCCTCTGCGCCCGTGTGCGCCACAAGCAGCCAGCACTCTGGTCGCGACCTCAAGCGTACGAACTGGCAGCGCTGTTGCCCAGCAGCCTGGTGCCCGAATGCCTGGCTCCGCCCTGCCCACTTTCCCATATGGAAAGTGTAGCCCGCTTCTGGGTGCCCTGGGCCTGGCGACCCAGTTCCCATTAGCTTGGCGTCGGCCCAGGGTGTCTGCGCCCAGGCCCAATTCGGATAGTGGACTGAGGCCGAAGCAGTTAGGCAAACCTAACTGTGGCTCTTGTCACTCGCTGCATTCTGATTGGCCGAAAGGCCTGGAGCCATGTCGCTGCCTGAAAGAGCCCAGGAGGCCCACGAGTACTTGGTCACACAGCATGCTGCAGCCTGCCTCTCGACCAACTGGAGTGTGGTAACTGTCTGGCGCCCCAAGTTCAGAGTAGGCCTGATACAGGCCGCACACGAATGATGCAGGCCCGCCTTCACTTAGGGTGGGCCCGAGGCTTGCAGGGCCCGCCAAAAGGTCTCGGCTGCTGGGATATGAAGGCTCCATGAGGGACTCATTCCTCGCAAATGCCTCAAAAACTTCAAAAATTCGAGGGTCTGTAGATTGGTCGTGATCTTTCAAGGAAAATTATTACAAAAAAAAAAGAAAAAAAAAAAGAACGTGAAATAAATTCCACACAGTTTTGTCTCACTTTCATTTTTTGCCACTCTATGAGTTGTGGGCGAACGGTAAAAGTACCCCAATTTCAGCGTTTTTTCATGCTCAGAAGAATATGCAAAAACAATCTGAAAATTAGAGGCTCCATAGATCTGGTCATGATCTTTCCAGGAAAAATGTTTACGAAAAAAAAAAAAATTGTTTCAACCACGAAATAAGTCGTGGCGGCAATTCGTCGCATTTTCCATTTTCGTCACTCCGCCGGTTCTCCACAGTGTACTACCGGTAGCCCTCATGAACCTGTACTACCGGTCACCCAAATTTTCGACGTCGGGTAGAGTGGTGGTTTAAGCTACTGAGCGCGGCCCTCAAAAAAATTGCCCAGCCCATCTCTGAATTTTGGCGGGGCAGGGGTCTTTGGTTCAGCCTCCCTCCCAACTTATTTTTTTTCGGGGGCCCCCGATTTCGCCCTTGCGGCACACCCTGTGCGCAACTGGCGTGCATGCGATTCAGGAGGAGAAGATGACGGGAAAAAAGTGAAACCTGGAAATGATAATTAAAAACAAAAAGCAGCCACAATTTTTAATTGCAGATTGACAAGATAGGCCAAGGACGTTGGGTTTTTATTAATGGATGAACGAGAAATGAAGTAAACTCGCAACTAGAAATAAATAAATAATTAATAAGCCCCGTATAAAAGGTATATTTTCACTGGAAATCATCACTTGGTCACATTGGCAGCACCTTACCTTGCAGAAACCAATGTTGGGGTTGAGCGTCAAGGAGCTGTCGCGAATCCTCACCATAAGAAATTGCCTTTTCGGGTCTTCTACCAGGAATTGGAAATCCTGTAATTTAGGTGCAAAAAAAACATACAACGTACACAAACAACCACCTTTCGTCACGTTGCCCTGGCATATGAAGACACCGGTCTTGTGCCTTGCCTATAGGTTGAATGGCCACAGAGTCAAAACCCGGTCATCGACCAACAAGCCAGAGACTTGGATCCTTTCTCAAAAAAAAATTAAAAAAATATATATATAAAAATCAAGACATTATTCCAAAAACAATCGACAGAATTGAGGGTTCTTCCCCCTTCAGTCAAACAAGGGACGATGGGTGCACTCTGGACGGAGATCTGGCTGGTGAAGAGGGGAAGGAAAACGGATAAGCAAAAGAGAAAAAAAAAAAAAAAAAAAACAAGAAGACGACGACGAAAGGGGTAAGGGGGGGGAGGGGGGGAAGCGGGGGGCAAGGTAGGGAGTGAAGCAACAGAAACACACTATGACAAACGACGTCTGCATGGGGAATAAAATTTACTGATATGATCCAATGCTCTGAGCACTGGGCACAGGCAAACGATGCGAATTTTGCACTCTGCGTATGTTTCATTTGCGTATGGTTCATTTCGTAAGTGCAATCCACTCTATGCTTTGCCTGCTGTCAGAACCTGTCCACTGTTTAGCATATAGGGCATTACTCACAGCAGGACTTTTCCCACTGAATCTGGAAGTCAATACAATCAGATACGTCCAGAAAAACTATAGTGTGAGTACCCCTTAGATACTTGAAACCGTGCACAAAATGTATCTCCGAGTGCCTACCTAGCGTGAAAAACATAATGCTGTTAGTACTGACAATGCAACCATCCATGGCAGTTGCATTTGCACTCCATTCTCGTCTAGCCGCCACCCCTAATAAACCTAAATAAATGCAGGTATCATTTGAAGGGGCAACAATCTTGTCAGCAGTGGGTCCCCCACTCGCCGGGATTCTTCATTCTGGACCCCAGCATCTTCACCCAAATCAAACACCCTGTCGTTATAGCCATATTTGGGGCAATTTTCAGTCTACATACAGCAATAACTTCCAGGCGTTATTTACAGGTGAAGATCACAGATTACACAGATCACCGGCTAGAAAATTAGAAACACACAATACAAACGACTGAGATCTACGGTAGCCAGAGGAAATCAGGAAAGTGCGAACTCCATGCAGCCACACCCACGTGATAATCTTACAAATCATGGACCAACGTTGTCATGTCACTGTGTCCATTATGTCTGACAAGGTGGAGCGATTCAACCGTCGGACTCCAACATCTCCGTGCGCGTCCCACTTGGTCTCTCCAGGACCTCCTGCTTGTCCCAGGGCAAGGCGCCATAGGTGCAATGCTCATGGCTAAGGAAGCACGAATCTGACCATTATGAAGACCAGGATCATACTATCTGAGCACGGACACACGACCAATGGGGGGACTGCCCGTTACTTAGCCTTCGACAAATTCTTCCACATACAAACGAATGCCGGTATGGCATGAAGTCCTGACGGTCTCCTAGGGTGTGGATGGACTTGTAACCTTCGAGAATCACGGTGGATACAAACAGTGCAAAGAATAGAAAGTAGGGGTCATTAGCGAGAGAAGACGCAGACCACATGGCTAGAAGTCCACGAGCGAGAGGAATGAATGAACGCGCGAATCCATGGATGAACGGATGAACGAACAGTAATCGCCCATGTTCATGTGCCGCTAACGCGCGCTAGTCAGGAGCTGGTGAATCACCCACAATTGCAATCCAACCACACAGTCATGGGTAACGGATTAAAAGCATCAACCATTAAAAAAAACTCTCACCTAAGAACAATATCATCAATACACAACTGCCGAAGACGAGTGCGAGCAATGGACCTCTGGTGGACACTTTCAAACATTTCGTAATCAGATCTGTGTGACATCTGCGTCCTGCGGTGCAAGCCTGCAGATTGCCAGCTCATCTGCATAAATAAAATGTCCTTAGTGGTTTAAGTAGTTGCTATCGTGCCGTCTTTTCAGTGTCGCTTTTCTTGTCAGTTAAACCACCTGTGCCAGTACCCTTCCGGTCGCATTTCAAAATTTTTTCCATCATGTATATAATGGATCAGCCGCAAGAAGAACGGAAGCATTGCATCATGGTTCTGTGTTTCTATCATCTTGCCGGCGGAAAAGAGAGCCTGGGTGATGCTCCCAAGAACAGAAAACTGCACCACGCTACCGTCTTCACCCTTATAGAACGCCCGGTCATTATGGCTGTATGTAAACTAAAAATTGCAACAAATGCGGCTATAATAACCAGGCATTGTTCCGGTGACGTCGGTAGAACTTTCTCGACTGCACCTTGCCATGTTGGATACATACAGGAAAGTCCTACAGTGAGTATGCCCTTGCCGTAAGTTCAAGGATTGCCAAGCACCCATAATTCTTGCCATAATCTCTCTCTCTCTCTCTCTCTCTCTCTCTCTCTCTCTCTCTCTCTCTCTCTCTCTCTCTCTCTCTCTCT